AATAAGAAACATCATTATAAGAAGAAAAGATTGAAGTCCAGGACTTCATTTTAATTGGATCTGCAATCAACACCCATGGATGCAGCAGTCGAGAAATCAAAAGACACATTGCACTGGGCAGATTTGCTGCAAAAGACTCCTTAAAGTGTTAAAAAGCAAAGATGTCACCTTGAAGACTAAGGTGCGTCTACCTAAGCCATGGTGTTTTCAATTGCCTCATATGCTTGCAGAAGCTGGACAATGAAAAAGGAAGACTGAAGAAGAATTGGGGCCTTCGAATTGTGGTGTTGGCAAAGAATATTGAATATACCATGGACTGCCAGAAGAGCAAACAAATCTGTCTTGGAAGAAGTACAACCAGAATGCTTCTTAGAAGCCAGGATGGTGAGACTATGTCTCACATACTTTGGACATGTCATCAGGAATGATCAGTCCCTGGAAAAGGACATCATGCTTGGTAAAATAGAGTGTCAGCGAAAAAGAGGAAGACCCTCAACCAAATGGATTGACACAGTGGCTGCAACTTTGGGCTCAAGCATAACGATTATGAGGATGGTGCAGGACCAGGCAGTGTTTCATTCTGTTGTACACAGGGTCACTATGAGTCGGAACCAACTCGACAGCATCTAATAACAACAACTATTTGGGGGACGCATAGAACAGACAAGAAATGTGTGAGATCTAATTGACAGTTAATATTACAGCGTGAATGGTCAGAACTCATATAAGTAATAGAAGATGTAGATTCTGAGCCTAATTTTTTTTTAACAATGACTTAAACAAGACAGAAATGTGTTCCCTGTTACATAAAGGAAGCCTTGGGCAAGTTGTGTGGGACTGGTATGGCAGCTCCACAACATCAGGGTTACAGGCTCCTTCCATCTTGCTTTTCCACTAACTTTAACAGACATCCTCATAGTCCAACATGACTGCTTGAATTTCCACCACAATTCCACATTCACAGAATTACCGTTTACATTAGGACTTTCATTTACATTTCATTGGCCAGAATTTAGTAACGTGGCCACACCTAGATACATGGGATGTTGGGAAATGTAGTCTTTTAGCTAGGCATTAATATGTCTAAAAAAACGAAAACAAAAAACAAACCTGTTGCCATCCAGTCGATTCTGACTCATATCAACCCTATAGGACAGGGTAGAACTACCTCATATGGTTTCCAAGGTTTTGATCTTTATGGAAGCAGACTGCCACATTTTTCTCCAGTGGAGCAGTTTTGGTTTGCAGCTGTGCATTTAACCACTGTGCCACCAGGGCTCCTTAGTTATATGTCTAGCCAGTAATATAAATGGGAGTTCTATTACTAAAAGGGAAGAAAAGAACAGATGTTAACAGATGTTATAGACTGAATTGTGTCCCCCAGAAACACATGTTTTAATCTTAACTCCAATACCTGTGATTGTAATCCAGTTTGGGAATGGGTTTTCTTTGCTATGTTAATGAGGCAACATTAGCGTAGGGTATGTCTTAAATCAATTTCTTCTGAGATATAAAAGAGCAGATTGAGCACTTAACAAAGCAAATAGAGTTGGGGGAAGAGAAAAGCCATGGCACTTGAGATCTCCAAGGAATAGAAGCTCAAAAGACACAAAGACCTTCTCCCAGAGTCAAAAGAGAAAGACTTCTTCTATAGCCGGCACCCTGAATTCAGACTTCCAGCACCCTAAACTGTGACAAAATAAATTTCTGTTTGTTAAAGCCATCCACTTGTGGTATTTCAGTTATCACTGCACCAGATAATTAAGGCAATAGATAACTAAAAACCTCTGCCTCACCATGATTGCCTTAGACCAGAGATTGGCAAACTAAGTCCAAATTTGGTTTTCCACCTGTTTTAGTTGTTTTTTTTTTTTTTTTCTTTTTTTTTAAATTGTGGTAAGTACATTTATAACAAAACATTTGCCACTTCAACATTTTTTGCATGTACAATTCAGTGATATTCGTGTTGTACAACAATTACTATTATCCATTTCTAAATATTTTCATCATCTTAACAGAAACTCTGTGCCCCCTAAGCAATGACTGCCCTTTTTCCCCTCCTTCCTGCCCCTGGTAACCAGTAATAAACTTTATACACTTGCCTATTCTAGATATTTCATGTAAGTGGGATCACATAATATTTATTCCTTTTGTAACTGGCTTATTTTACTCAGCATAATGTTTTCCAGCTTCATCCATGTATCAGGACTTCACTTCTCTTTATGGTGAGTAATACTCCACTGTATGTAGGTACCACATTTAGTTTATCTATCTGAGCCTACTTTTAACACTAGGAAAATTACCCAACAGATCACAAATATTTGAGGTTGGGAATCTTATTTTGGTCCCTCCAGTTATTAAATTCTATAAATGAAATAAGAAAATGATCATCGTAAGCTTCTTACATATACCAGAATTATCACTCTGTCATATACTTTTTCTTCTTCTTTGACATGGTGCAAGGTGCATAAATATAAAATGAACCCAGGTATTTAATTCTAAAATATTGTAAGCAGGTGGCAAACATTATATTCTACTATTGACATAACAAAAGTTAAATGGAAGCTATGTGCAAAGGTTTTGATACCAAGTTTCTGGAGTCATCTATAAACCCATGAAAGATTTCTTTTTTAGTTGTTATTGCAATAGAGTCATTCTGATATTCATGCTCTTTTTGGACTTAAGGATTAAAAAATAAAAGGACCCCCGTTATCAAGGCCCTCCCTAGTTTCCAATCTCATCCTGTATCAAATTCCCCCTTACCCTCTGTGCACTGTTTACCCAGACCTTCTTCACTTCACCTCAGGCCAGTTCCTGCCTTAGAATTTCTGCATAAGTTTTTTTTTTTTAGTTTTTGCCTGGGATGCTTTTCCCATTCATATGTTTCATGCCCCTTCTGTCTCATCATTCAGATCCTAATTTAGAAATAACCTCTCAAAAAAGCCCAAGGTCCACCTAAATAGAATGCTCACTCAGTCACAAATATACCAATCCATTATAGTTTTCTAAGAGTCAGTTATCACTGTATGACTTTATTATCATCTTATATGTATTTTTGTCTCCTGTATTAGAATGTAAGCTCCAAGAGAAAAGCAAAACTGATTGTCTTATACACCAATGTATACCCAACATAAACTCAACAATTATACTTCAGTGAATGAATAAACCTGGTGGTTAATGAAAACTGGTGGTGGTTGTCACAGCTAGATAACTATTGTACATATAAATTTTGTACTTAAAGATAAAAATATTGACTTAAATGCTGTGCTTTGTTTGAAATACTGTAACTGATATTATAATTATTGTCATCATATATATCATATATATTTGTCTTAATAAGAAAATTATAAAAACACAAAATCATGCTATGACCATATACTTCCCATAGACCTAGTCAGGGGAGGCCACTTAGAAAAGCAACAGTTTCTCTCTGGTGACAGCTTTTCCATAGCAGGATCTGGAAGAAAATATGCAACCTTTGGATTTAGAAACCCAAGTCTAGAACGTAACAGCAGGAATCTACTCCAATAGTTAAAAATAAAATAGATCAATACCGTTTCTCTTGTCCATACCCATTGTCGTCAAGTTGATTCCAACACATAGCGACCTTATAGGACAAAGTAGAACTGTCCCATAGGGTTACCTAGGCTGTAATCTTTACAGAAGCATACTGCCACATCTTTCTCCCACAGAGCAGCTGGTGGGTTTGAACCATCAACCTTTCAGTTAGCAGCCGAGCACTTAAGCACTGTGCCACCAGGGCTCCTTTCTTGTCCCATAAAGAATATATAACTTCAAGACACAGACATCAGATTCTAAAGTATCTTGACTCCTGCGTGAGTGACTCTTAGTCTGTTTCTCTAAAGGATGACAAAAGACTGTGGAGAATTAACGCTAAGGAGCAGCTCTACTCTGTCCTATAGGGTGGCTGAGTCAGAATCGACATGACGGCAATAAGTTGTTGTTTTTGGAGGGGGCTCCATATTAAATAGTGCACTACTAAACTGAGATTATACTTGCCTCCAAAAAGGACACTTTGCAGCACGCAAACCAGGGGAATTCTAACTCCTTAAGTGTTTGTATGTATTTATCTTTCTCAATTTTTCCCAACCATTGAATACAAAAAGGTTAAAAAACAAGAATTAAATCTCTTTTAGACTTGTATTCATTCAATAATATTTATTAAGCATTTACTAGGTGACTGGAGGAGTTCCTGAGTAGTGCAAATGGTTAATGCTCTCTGCTGCTAACCAAAAGTGTGAAGTTTTAAATTCACTCAGAGTTTCCTCAGAAAAAAGACCTGGCAATCAATTTCTGAAAAAATCAGCCATTGAAAACCCTACAGATCACAGTTCTACTCTTAAACGCATAGGATTACCATGAGTCAGAATCAACTCCAACTTGTTAGCTGACTTGGAGTATTTGAACCACTAAGTCTACAGCATAATGAATAAACACTATCCCTGTTCTAAGAGAGATTATAATCTTGTGGAGAAAACAGAGAAAATAAAAATGTACTTACTTATAAAGTAAGTAAAGCTTGTGATCATTCATTTCAAGGCTATAAACGGGATGAAGAGCTAGGGAATAACTGAGAGGAATTACTAGAGAAAAGACTTCTTGAGGAGGTGGGCGGTCATCTGAAAATTAAAAAAAAAAAAAATTGAGAGGGTTCGATTCAGATGAAGCATCTGGGAAAAGAGATTCCAGCAGAGAGAAGAGTGAGAACAAAAGCCATGAACTGGGAAAAGCCTGAATTGTTCAAAAACAGGTTAAAAAGAAAGAAAGCTAAAGGTGGTCAGAGCCTTGTGAGAAAGGATGAAATACAAAATGAATAGGAGAGGTAGGCAGTAATGTGGTTAGGCAGAGCACTGCAGTATCTTGAACAGATTTGTATGTTTAAAGATGCCACTAGGTATTGTGTGTGTAAGAGATTTCATTGAATGGGGAGGATGAGATCTCATTGTACCTATAGGAAAAATTTGTTCTTGGCATGGAAGCTAATGACCATCCAGGATTTGTTGTTTCATCCAAAGTTTCTTCATGGCGTTTTTCACCTCTGCATTTCTCAGGGTAGAGGTCAAGGGATTTAACATGGGGGCAACAATGGTAAAGGACACAGCCACTGCCTTGTCTACGAGGTAAGTTGCCACAGGTCTCATGTATAAGAAAATGCATGGCACAAAGAACAAGACAACCACCATGAGGTGGGAGCCACAGATGGAGAGAGCTTTACGCCACTCTTCAGAGCTGCAAGACTTCAGGGAGCAGAGAATGACCACGTAGGAGACAATGAGGATAAGGAAGATGGTCACACACATCACCCCACTGTTGAGGATGACCAAGAGGCCCAAGACGTGGGTGTCCATGCAGGCCAGTGTCAGCAATGAAAATAAATCACACATAAAGTGATCATTGACATTGGGACCACAGAAGGGTATTTGGTACCTGAAGAGATGCTGTATTGTTGCATGCATGGACCCCCCTACCCAGGCCCCTCCCAACAGCAGGCAGCACATCCTAGGATTCATGATGGTCATGTAGTGTAGGGGCTTACAGATGGCCACATAGCGGTCATAGGCCATCACGATGAGAAGTATGATCCCTACCCCACCAAAGAAATGTTCTGCAAAGAGCTGGGTCATGTAGCCTTCGAGGGAGATGGTAGTACTTTCAGACAGGGAATCCACAATCATCTTGGGGGCAATGACAGAAGAAAAGATGGCATCCATGAGGGACAAGGAAGTAAGGAAAAAATACATAGGTGACCTCAGACTCCGACTTGCAGTCATAGTTACCACAATGAGTAGGTTTCCCAACACGGTGACCACAGACATGAGTAGAAACACAGCAGAGAATATTTTCCACGGCTCTGGGTTCTTCGTTAAGACCCAAAAGAACGAATTCAGTCACATTGTTTTGATTCTCCATTTACTGTAGGCTGATTGAAGCACATAGCTATGAGCTGGAAAATCTGCAAGAGCAATATTTTTTTAAGTATTGTAAAAATGTTAATAACGCAACATTTGTCAATTCAATATTTTCACATGTACAATTCAATGATACCAATTACGTCAATCATGTTGTGCAACCATCACCAATATTCGTTGCCAAATTTTCCATCACCATAAACAGAAACTCAATGCTTCCTAAGTAATGGTTTCCCCTTTCCCCCTCTCTCCTGTCCCTGGTAATTACTATTAAACTCTGATCTCTATATATTTGCCTATTCTAGGTATTTCGTATTAGTCAAAGTACATAACATTTGTCCTTTGCAAAAGCAATATTATTATTTTTTCTTTATTGTGCTTTGGAGGAAAGCTTACGGCTCAAGTTAATTTCTCATTCAAAAATGTATACGCATTGTTTTGTGACACTGGTTGCAATCCCCACAATGTGACAGCAATATTATTTTTAATTGATAATCACTGGGTGCATTAGAGATTTTTTGTGCACCATCTCACACCCTTGTGACCTATCTTTTTCTCCAACCATTGCTATCACAACCATCTCTTCCCAATTATATCCTGACAGTAGCTTGAGTTTAAAGATTCACCCAACACCACCTCCTTCACAGGCACATTTCTTGCTTTCTGTCCTTGCACTTGCAGTTTGAGATATTTCGGAGACCCTGATACATCATTCTGATGCAAACACACACTTAGAAATATGAGGGTGCTCACATCGCATAGGGAAACCTTGACCATTTAGATATAGGAGCCAGTAGATAAATGGTAACCAGCTTAACACAACCTTGGGTGAAGTTTCTTTCCTTCCCTGTTTCACTCTCCGCAGTTCTTCCTTTCCCCAAATAAACTACCTACCTACAAGCTCTTCTCTCAGCCTCTTCTTCTTGGGACCCAAACTAGGATGCTGACCTTCATTTATAACTAGGCACCCAAGAACTTGGAAATTTCCATATGAATTTTCATTCATTTATTTCACATATTTATTGAGCCCCTAGAATGTGCTACGGGGAAAGCCTACAAGACAGATAGGTCATATCCCAAGGGCTGTCTACTTACTAAAGCCTATTCTCTGCTCCTTCCATCTACACTTCTTCTTTTCCAAATTGGCTTAGTGGTGGTGTTGTTGTTGTTATTATTAATATCATTACATATTTATAATATGCAGTGAGTCCTTACTGTGTCTCAGGCAGTGGAATATCCTATGAGATATTTTCTTAATTTTAGAGTTAAGATACTGAAGCTTAAAGGAGTGAAAAAAGTGACACCATGGTCACACAACTAGTAAACACTGAAGCCAGCTCTTACTGGTTCCAAAATCATTTCTATTAAAAAATTATATTGCATCTCTTATGCTAGTATCAAGTGCACAGTATATGTGAAACACTGTTTCATGATATAGTTTCATTTTTCTAATAATCCAGTGAAATAGATGTATGCTTCCTGTACTCACCTATTCAACAAGACAATTCTACAGTAAAGAATATGTTCTGATTATATACATTAAGTATCCAATCCTGAACCTATAAATTTCAGCCTTTGACTAAGTGCCCAAATGTTTCGAGTAATTTTCCAGATGTGCTGATTATGGAAACTAAAATGTTCCAGGAAGATCCAAATACACAACTTGATAGGCACTATCTTTGCACATAGGCACAGTGCATATTATTCCTTCCCTAGTGACAAAGTCTGGATTTGAATCCAGAAAGCCAACTTTATAGCTGATGTACGTTTCTTGTGTCTGAACTTCTTACAGAGATAATTTTTCCCATGAAATCCTGGATAACAAGAAGATGCTAGCAATGTGTTTGGTGAGTCCCCCTGGGTCATCATTTTGTTAATGAGCAATCAGTAGCCCTGTGTTGTTGGGAAGATCTGTACCCCAAGCATATACACCATCAATAAGGGCTTCAAAGGACTGTTTCTGTCTCTAAGTCTTCCTAATTCACCTTGCTTTTTTTGAGAGATAAGGACTGGTTAGTGGAGATGGAATTATCTCCAGTAGCACTTTTGTAGAATGGAAGTTACTATACCATTGTAGATACAAAAACTAATGTTTATTTGGAATGCTTCTGCAGGAAGAGGAGGGTTACTCGCTAAACAAACTTTCTTAACTTCACCCTGTTCCTGAGCAAATCACTAGCACCACCCCCAACACACCACTACCATCACCCACTTGAGCAGAGATGCTCATAAATAGATGTATAGATTTTTATATTGATTGAGAAACGTATTTTAAAGATTTCAAATCACTATTACATTGATAATGAAAACCAGAAATCTGAACAATCGTTAACTAATTAAAACAGAAAAAAATAAAAATACCACAAAATTTTTTTCTGAGGAACTATTAGTAGAAAAATTAAGATTAAAGCAATTGGTAAAAAAGAAAACAAGATGTATATGTATGTATATATGTATATATATATATTATGTATTATATATACATATAGAGAGAGAAAAAGAGAGTCCTGGTGGCACAGTGGTTAAAGCATTCAGCTACTAACCAAAAGGTCAGTAGTTCACATCCACCAGCCACTCTGCAAGAAGAAGATGTGGCAGTACGCTTCTGTAAAGATTACAATCTTGGAAACCCTACGAGGCAGTTCTAATCTTTACTATAGTGTCTCTATGAGTCGGAATTGACTCAACGGCAACGGATATACATACACACATATATATATACATATATGTATATATATTTAAATACTATATTTTAAATGTATGCAAATGTATTTCAATATATGCAAATATATTAAACTATATGTGAGAGAATAGAATAGAATGAAAGAAAGGAAACAGAAATTTTTTCTAAAACTATCCTCATTACACCAAGTATTTTCATTCCTCTCCTTTGTACAAGCTCATCTCTGAAGCATACATACACACTCTTTTATTTGCTAATATTCACATATGGATAGAAGCCAAAATAGAGACACTTAAGTTTTGATAATGTGCCAAAAGTAATTAAGGTAAATCAAGCTAAAAATGGTTGATAGCTCAAGGCTCTCCACCGTGAGTTCACAATTTATGTAAACAGAATCAAACAAACAGGTAAAGTATTAGCACATTTTACATATAACTGTGTGTGTGTTTAGGTGATTCAATTATTTCAACAATTTCAAAATAGCAACTCAAATTAACAGGAACATGTTTAATACTTAAGTAAGTTTTTAAGGCCACCTCCAAAGCTCAGTCTGGTGTCATCTCTGTGACTTCTGAGAACCCAGCCAGTTACCCAACGGTCCTGGTAGGTAGAAGGTAGAAGACTGTTGAGATAAATTTTCTAGGATCATGTCAGAGTAACCAAAGGTCTGACTCCATCCAGGATTTACTCATGTGAAGCTTCTTTTATAGAAGAGCTAGAAATCATGACACGTGAAATTTCAACTTGGTTGTTCTAAATGTAGAGGCAAGTAAATCAGGACCTGTACAGCCAACAAATCGTCCTATTACTTAATGGGGAATTATTTTCATAGAACTTGATGGCAACGGGTAGAGTATCTAATGATTTTCAAAAGAAAGTTAAAACAGATGCTCTAAGTACCCAACAACTTAAATAGAAAACAACCTTTGTGGTTGGCAGAGTAATTTAAATTTCCTCCAAATAGGAAAGACTGCCAAAAGGAAGCCAGTAACACTATTTACAAAATTATTCAAGGGACTGTGCCTGCCATCTGGCTGTATTTCGAGCTTAATTTGAAAGCAGTGTCCAATCCACATCTTAGAAGAAGCATCATTAATAAGATGTCCTCCTTCGGGTAATGGACCTGTACTAAAAGAGGACAGAGTGCTATTTTCAAAAACTGGAAATGTGCCAACCTGCATCATTGCAATTGCATCCCTTTGAGGTTGGGTCTCTACTGACTGAGGAGCTAATTACCATGCAGTGAATTCCCATCTAGCCCTGCAGTGGTAGATTGTTCCCAGGGGCTGAGCATCACTGGAGCCAGGCCAACCTGATGCTCCACAAGCACAAATTCAGATCCTGGTATTAATGATTCAATTATTTACTCCAGAAATAAGCTCTGTCCTTCAATAACAAAATGGTCACACAATGATACTTCGGCTTGATAATATAGATCCAAAGAAAAAAGGAATATAACTTATTCTTGGCCATCTAGCCAAGGACTGAATTTTTCTATCACTTAGCCTGATAATCATCTCACCTTTAAAGACTATCATTAAAATTATATCACATCTGACTTTGTGTATTCCAAAGTCAAGAAAGACAGACCCTCTGTGCTTTGGGTTGCTGACCTTTGAATTAAACTTTATTCCTTTAGACTATCTCATTTCTAAATACATTTATTCAGTCAGTATTTCTATAATTACTTAGCATTTGATAGAATTTTTTTTTTTTTATATTTTTTACCATAATGCCTCAGTTGCATATTAAATTATGGCAGAATATATGATTAACTCATACAACAACTTTCCAATCTTCTGTGGCAATGCCCTACTGGATTAAAGAAAGAAGTTCTTAGATTATTCATTTTATATTTGAATTTTTATCATAAGACTCATTTAGTTGTATTTTCTTTCCCTACTTGAGAAACAATGTGAACAAGTATTTTAAGGGCAAATAAAAAGTTGGTGCAGAACTGGGCAAACTTCCTTCTGTTATGCATAAGGTTGCTATGAGTAGGAGCCAACTCCATGGCAATTAACAACAACGACAACAAAAAGTTGGTTAAAGCAAAAAAATAGTCTCCACTATTAAGGACTGAAAAAAGTGTCTCAGCCAGACAAAATAAGGATTAACTCTCTCTTACTTCATAACAAATTGTATTCTCAAGTAACTTGTTTCCAATTTAGATCTATTTGGGGTTATAGCCTTTATTCTTTTTCTACCTTCAATAATAAAAATATTAATATCCTACTTTTGCAACATACTTTGGAGTTTACAACTGGTTTATTAACACATTTGACCTTATACTTTGGAAGTCTTCTGAGAAGAAATTTTACAAAATACTTTCCTCACAGACGATGGACAACCTCTGCGTTTGGATCATCTTTATTAGTCTTCTATAATTACGCTACCTTCTCACCTAACGATTTACACCTGGAGCCTCCCAAGGTCACTCAATGGTGCAGACGGTTAAGCACTCAACTAGCAGAAAAATTGACGGTTTGAACCCACCCAAAGGGTCCTTGGAAAATAGGCCTGTCAATCTGCTTTTGAAAAGATCACAACCTTGAAAACCCTATGAAGCAGTTCTACTCTTACACACGTCGAGTCAGAATCAACTCAACAGCAACTAACAACAAGGAGACATTCTTTTCCTAATCACACACAGATATACTATCTACCTATTTATGCACTTTATGTATCTCTGTGCCTTACATATATAAATATATGTATATGTATATATATATACACCCATGTATGTATGTATATATATACACACACATACATATATATGTGAACACACACACACACACATATATATAAAGCAAGAGTTTTTCATCCCCCAAGAAACAATTTTTTTCTACTTGTAGGAGATAGCATCCTCATTACAAATGCGTGTGTTAGGGTAACCTCCTTAAAGAAAAAAAAGGAAGAAATGTGGTTATTTAAATTTGAACCTAACTCAAATTCTAGCTGTGCTTCAAACAACTACACAAATCTACATCTAGTTCTTATCTTTTGCATGACTCCTTTATAAAACTATTTTCCTCATTATACTTATTACTAACAAACTTACATTGTTCATTTATTTGTTTACTTGTTTACTACTCATCTAATCCTCACTGGAATTTAAGTTCCACGCAAACAGGACCCTTGTCTACAGTGTTCAACACTGTATGCCCAGTCCCTAGAACTGTCTGGCACACTGTAAGCACTGAACAATATTTCTTGATAAAGAAAATAAGCCATAATTTCCTAAACTTCATTGGCCATAGAGCCATTTTTCAAGTAATATATTGCATACAACACAGTATGCAATAACACTGGGAAAAACCCTAAAGAAACAATATTTACCTCTTCAAGGTGCTGCCTTCATGCCCAAGCAGAGTATCAATTCGCCTCCACGGTTGATGCTTATTTTTCCTCCAAACATCTCTCTTACCCATGTGTCACTTTCTTTTAAATTCAACCATTATTTATTCATTCCTTGAGCCGATTACATCCCACTTTTTAAATACACATACTCTCATGAAGCGTAATACATTTATGGGAATGAGGTCATTTTCTCTGACACAAGGGAATCAAGAGACTGTGATTAACCTGGGAAGCAGAGGTCAAGAGACAGCTGAAGGGAAGAAAGTGGCTCCCTCAAAAACAGTGGAGGAAAGCCTCAAGGACAATATTTACAAGGATAAGGTCTGCATTTTGATATTTTAGTATTATGCCAGGAAGCAGTTTGTGAAGTGAGAAGAATAAAGGAGACAGAATCTAAAAGACTTGAGAGTGTTGCTTAACCTCATTGCGACGTATTTTCTTCTTCTATAAAATGGGGTAAAGACCTGTCTAACTATGTTGTTGTTGTTAGGTGCAGTGGAATAGGTTTTGGCTCATAGCGCCCCTGTGTACAACAGAACGAAACACTGCCCAGTCCTGCACCATCCTCACAATCATTCTAACAATACTTGTGGCTAGAATGAAGAGAGTTACAGTATATGAAGAACCTAACAAAGCGTATGCCTCATAACTGGTCTTCAATAATGGTTAACTCACTCCTTTCAATTAGATAATGACCAACATTTTCACTGATTAAACCAAAGTATCTTCACACAAAAGAGCCAAATATGATTTATCATATTCATTTTTAGGAGCAAATATACATATTCTTTTTAAGTTGTTGTATTTTTAATAACCATAAATAATCAGATGGGAGTTGGTCCCCATAAGAGATTCTTCATGATAAATACAAAAGAATATATAATTCTTTAGCATTATTCCCAAACCAGCAGGACTCCACCCATTGAGAATGTCAGACTGCCTTACATTTCTTTAAGTTCTTATACCTTCCAAGTTTCCTAGTGACAATTTATAGTCTTCTCACTCCTTCACTCACACTTATTTTCTCCCCTAAGACATAGTCATTGACCTTGATTTTCTTCTTCAAATACTCCCTTTTTTCTTAGAGTAGAAATGACATGTGTTTAATACTTCTCCTATACTTCCCTTGGCTTATTCTCTTCTCTAACAGTCATAACACAAAATGAACCCCGAATCATGTAGTCTAGATTCTGCTGAAACATTTAATTGTCTCCAGCAATTGCGACTTTGGTCATTTTTAATATATAAGTGCTGATTTTATCCTGTTCGGGCCTGTGCATTGTGGGAGCAGGCTCTTTTTCTTAGAAATTAGAGACAGCCATCCATAAGATAGGATACACATCCACCCCAAAGAATGGCTTTACCATGCTCTGGTGTTACTATATAGTCAAATGATAGAGGAAATAGCTCCAGATGACCAATGAGTTTGAAAAAGGGGACACGTGTGAGAGGTAACGGGAATTGGAGAGATGTAGCCAAAAAAGCTTTGATTCATAAAGTCTTATGTAGTAATGTAGAATGACTGGTATTTTCCATGTGCATAAAGAAGCATTATAGCTGAAAGGTATTGCTACATAAGAGAAAAGTCTGCAACAAATTTGGCATCATTTTTCTTGGAGGACAAAGTGAATCATTAAGACTGAAAATAAGATTCTTACATAGAGACATAAACATACCACAGAAAGTGTATTTTATTTGAAAGAGAATATGACTGAGATATGGAAGACCTGGATTTAGATTCTGTAGCTGAGACTCTTAGATGTGTGACCTGAGGCAACTAAGTTACTAAACCTCTTTAAGCTTCAATTTGCTTACCTGTAGAATGGACACATACTACTGAAACTACCAATTGAGTACATAGATGAAATCACCTAACTCATTTAATATAAATACATCTACAGAGCAATAGCTTTGGAACCTTACCATAAGTCTTTGTGTTGAGATTAAATTAAAAAAAAGAAAATGTTTACCTTCATTGCTTTCAATGGCTCCTCAAGTCTTGGTATGGAAAAAAAAAATCCTTATAGTCATGAAAAACTAAGCACTATGAGGATATTTGAGAAAATAAGACAAAATTAGGGGTAAATTCAAAAAGTCTGGCTTATATTTTGTGCTGAAAAAAAAATTTAGAGACAGGATACTAACTGTTTCTTTCTTCTGTTAGTGTCTCTCTTTTTTCTTGGTAGATTAGTGGTGAGCAACAAAAAAATCAGCAATGGTTCTTTCATTCCCAATTGTCTACCCTTTCCCCCTGTATATCCATCTAAGAACTTCTTTTCTCTTTTTTGCTTACTGCAAGCAAAACCAAATATACCAAAAAAAAAAGAAAAGAAAAGAAATTCTGAGACCAAGGATGCTGTGGAAAAGCCAATTTCATCCAAGTAACATATGCATGAAGAATTTAATACAAGAGTAATGAAACTGGAGCAAAACATACCCTAGAATCACCAAACTAGGGGCTTACAGTTCTTTCTCTTATGTATATATCCTGACTGTATGCCCAACGAGCATTGGAGTTTCAGTAAAGTACATGAAAAGCTATCAAAAGCACCTAGAAAAGGGCCTAACCACTATTAAACACTCAATAAATGTTTGTTTCTGGGCCTTTTTTTCATTAATAATCTGGAAAACTTGAAAATCCTCTTTCACAGTTTACCACAGATATGATCCTTCCTATTTATTTACATCATCACTTTCTGGCGTAATAAACAGCCTAAGTTACCCTTGTCTTCAACAAACTCCTCATGGAATTTTTTACGTCTGTGTTTCTGACTGTATAAATGATAGGATTTAACATGGGGGTGAGGATTGCAAAAAACACAGTCACCAACTTGTCCACTGGGTAAGTGGCCACAGGACCCATGTAAGTGAATATGCAGAGCACAAAGAAGAGTACAACTACAGTAAAATGGGAACCACAGGTGGAGAGGGCTTTGCGCCTCCCTTCAGAGCCATGACATTTCAGGGAGCTTAGGATGACTATGTAGGAGATGAGTAACATGGAAAAAATGAGCAAGCACATGGCCCCACTGTTGGCAGCCACCACCATTCCAAGCATGTAGGTGTCTCTGCAGGCAAGCTTCAGCAGTGGGAAGAGGTCACACATGAAATGATCAATGATACTGGGGCCACAGAAGGGCAAGTTGATCATGAAGAGAATCTGCCCTGTGGCGTGAAGAATCCCACCAATCCAGGCCACGACTACCAGGAGGTGGCAGAGCCCCTGTCGCATGATGGTGGTGTAGTGCAGGGGCTTGCAGATGGGCACATAGCGGTCATAGGCCATGACAATGAGGAGGATGATCTCTGACCCTCCCAGGAAGTGTTCCACAAAGAGCTGAGTCAGGAAGCTGCCCAACAAGATGATTCTCCTCTGGTAGAGCAGGTCGATGATCATTTTAGGAGTGGTGACGGAGGTGTAGGAGGCATCTATAAAGGACAAGTAGGTGAGAAAGAAGTACATGGGAGCTGAAAGTGCAGGGCTGAGGGAGATGGTGATGACAATGAGCAGATTGGCCAGCACAGTAAATAGGAAAATGAACAAAAAGACAATGAAAAGTATTTTCTGCAAGTGTGGATTCTGTGTGAGTCCTAGGAGAATAAACTCAGTCACATTGTTGGGAGGTATGAGACGATCCATTAAGGGAATGATGCCTTTCTGAGCCTGAATGATATGCAAAAAGATAAAGAAAGATACCTAATTAATCGCGAAAGGGTTATAGTTTGAATTTAACAGTATAGAAATAGGGTAGTTGCCATAATTATGCAGCATGTCCTTGGCACTCTTCACCACAGTAATTGCTTCAATTATTCTGTCCTCCATATGCTTTCTCCTTATTTTCAGACACCCGTCAACTATAAGGAAACCCTGGTGGCATAGTGGTTAAGAGCTACTGCTGCTAACCAAAAGGTTGGCAGTTCAAATGCACCAGGTGCCCCTTGGAAACTCTATGGGGCAATTCTACTCTGTCCTATAGGGTCGCTATGAGTCGGAATCAACTTGAAAGCAATGGGTTTCTTTGTCTTTATTTTATCAACTATAAAGCATATTCTGTAGGGCAATATTTGATGTGTAATTTACTGAGAAAATACTTGGCAGTGTACCTGAGGGGAACTGGATTCTTATCCTGTGTCCACCTCCATGTGACTTTGCTAAATCCTTTCCCTAAGCTTCTGAGCCCTCCTCTGCACCTGTGAGTTTAGAAATTGTAACTGTGAAATGTATTTTGGAGGCTTCTAAGGGCTGCACACAGATAAGAGTTATTCCTTCTTCCAGGAGAATTTACATTTGATCCCCCAGCTCTAACTGTGGAATGAAAGACATTGTCTCCTGGTCAAGAAATATCTATCATAAGGAGTCAGATTAGGGAATTTTGTAACTAGTTGGAAACACCCTCCCTGGCATCTACCACAACGCATGTGCTTTTCATGTCTGTTTCCTTGCTGTGCCCAGTAAAGAGGCTGGCATAGTGTCTGCAGTGTCTGGCACTTACCAAGTGACAAATCAATTCTTGGTGAATTGACACACTTCCTACATATTCCTGTTTAAGAATACACATGCCTCACCAGTCTATAAACCTAGGAACTCAAGTGGTCTGGTCCTTCCAATCTGTTTATCATTACTCTCCACTTTATGAGAAACATAAATAAACTTTTAGAAGGAGACTGCATTGCAGTTCAATAGTTTTCAACATATTTTGTAGGGTGCGTATGAAAACGTTAATTGGCTCTAGGAAACAGCATATTACCAGTCACTGACTTTCAAGATAATTACAATGTAGGTTAATTAATATTGTTTCTTTTATAAAATTAAATTCCACACGCAATTTAACTTAGTCCCACTCAGTAAATTTACAGCCTTAAGAAAATCTGATTGGAAAACCAAACAAACAAAAGAAACTTTTAGATAGGTTTTCAGTCCAGGAAGTTCTATCAAGCGAAGGGAACCTTTATTTTCAAAGTTTTAAAAATAGAATTTTAACTTGGAGAAGAGAAAGAAATACATTTTTGGTAAGATAAACAAAATGCTGTATATACATGCATACATACATGCATATATATGCACATACATATACATACAAACCTATAAAACCTACTTATTACATGTTGACTCATTCAATACATATTTATTAGACTCTCATTATGTATATTAATATATATATGTGACTATGTAAAGTCAAAAAAGGTCCTTGTTAATGCTTTAGTGATCCCTCCCCCTAGGACTTTATTAGCAAAGAGCAATGGCTCATCCCTCCACGAGATGAATGATCCTCCTATGTCCTTTGTGTTCCTGCTATAAGAATTTTCATGCCTTCTTCTCCCATCCTGCCCAGCAGGTCCATCATCCATCACTCTTAGTCACAAAACATTGCATTATTTATAGAGTGGGGAGAATCATCCCAATTTGGGGGCATAAAATTCCCGAAGAAAAGAGAAAATATAAATAAAGTAGAATTTTTTATGCAAAAAAAAAAAATTTCCTTTCAAAGATAATCAGACAAAGGGCTTCTATTTTTTAATTAGCCAAGATGAAAATCTTACACCTACATGAAAACAAAGTGCAGCAGCTTCTTTGCAATTCCCTTATTATGAGGTCGACTCTGCCAGAAAGAGTATGGTGTACATAAAGGAAAAATAAGTCATTATTTATAAAAGTGGTTTAGAAATAGCTACAAAGAAATAAAAATCATTTTGTCTTCTCTTTTTTTTTTGGTGCAATAGTACTCTTTCTAGGAATAAACCCCAAAGAAAAATATTTTAAAAAAAGAAAAAATTTTATGTACAAATATGTTCAACTCAGTTATTATTAATAGTCATAGAAAATTAGAAATTGCGTGGCATGTCCAGCATTAGAAACATGATGAAATAAAATACTTCGTACCTCATGGAATGGTGTGTAACTTTTAAAAGAAATTTTTTTTTAAGAATTGTGTAGTATCGTAGTAATATCGTAACTCTTTTCTTGTCATTTAAGAGAGACAATCTGCATACAAATTTGAACATATAATTTGATTCTAACTAATTTAAATATATTTCAGTAGAAAAAAAGGAAAATAATTCAAAATGTTATTGGTGGGGGCGTTGGAAGGTGACCATATAATTTTTAAGGTCCATTTAAACCTGAGATTCTATAATTATATGCTTTCCTCAAGAAAAAAAAATTCTCACCTATAAACTTATTTGACACAGCTCCATGGTCAGGGCCCCAGGCCACTGTGAAATCACCCAGACAGAAAGAAGTAAAATTGCAAGATTTAAAGTGCCAATAGATCAGCTGCAATAAGTCTCTTTGTTGATTTATAAATGGCACCTTTGGATAGTGCCTTTCTCTTGAGCCTTTGAAGTGTTACTGCATATCCTGTTTGCAGGCAACTTTTGTGAAGTTTCTTAGCTGTGGCTAATGAGACTTCAAGGGTATTTCATCATCATTAGCAGAACTTGCCAACCACCTAATTCTTTCCAATTACCTAAATGAACATCAGAGAACTTTTATAACAATTCACCTTTAATTTTTAACTACTTCCTGAAGTCTACACGAAGACAAATCACCATGACAAAAGAAAAAAATGAGCTAACCACTTAAGAATTACCTAAAAGACACTAAGAATTTGGATATTTGATAACAAATTAGCTTAGTGTCATTTTCTAGATGTTTGGCATTACATAAACAGGTATACAGTTCCAGCAAAATGGCGCTCTAGGCAGAAGAACCACACCGTCCCTCCACAGCAAAGATCTGATAAACTAAGCCGAACATAGAATACAACAATCCTGAAACCCTAAAACATCAAATGAAGAGATAAAGAACCCAGCCAAGCACCAAACGGAGTGAGAAAACTGACAGAGAACAGAGAGCGAGGAGAGATTCATGCAGAGGTCCCTACCAGCTAATGCAGTGCGGATCCACCATCTTGGACTCCTATTGGAGACCAGCAAACAGGGGGTACGAGAAAGCAGCCTCATGGAGCGTCCAGGGGGAGACAAAACAACCAGTAATTTGTGGTGTGAGCTTTCCCACCCCCCACCCTTCTTCGCCCCGGCTCGGCCTCCTCTGCTTCCTACTGCTATGGTCTCTTGACCGGGAAGTGCCGGCTGCTTGCATTCCACGCACCCGAGCGGGCGACTCTCTGGGTGCCATTTGTTGGCTGCTAGTGTTGCTTTCTTTTTTTCTGCTTCTTTGGATTTCTTCCTTGCCTCTCGCCATCTCCCCCTCCTTTTGCTCGAGTGCCTGGCTCTGTGCACCATCTTTGCTTCTTCCTGAGGGGCTATAGAGTGCCAGCCAATTTGTGATATACGCTTTCCCACTCTCTACCCTTCTTGACCCACACTCGGCCCCCTCTGCTTCCCGCGGACACAGTCTCTTCTCCAGAAACACCAGCCCGCGCTAGCTGGCTCTCTGAGTGCCATTTGTTGGCTGCTGGTGTTGCTTTTTTTTTTCTTTTTTCCTCCATCTTTTGATTTCTTGCTTGCCTCTCGCTGCCTCCCCCTCCTTTCACTCGAGTGCCTGGCTCCGTGCACCATCTTTGCTTCTTCCTGAGGGGCTGCAGAGCTCCGTTTGAGTATGGAGCTGCTTCCTGGTCTGGGCTACCGTGCTGGTGGGATCCTGGGGCTTTGGTTCGTTTGTTTGTTTTGAATTGTTTGTTTGTTTCCTTTTCCTTTTCTTGAGTTGGAAGCCCTTTCTGGCCAGGCTGAGCTGCGTGGCAAGGAGACTCCCCTTCGGCTTCCACAGACTTGCAGAGGGATCCCTGAGGACGTTTCTTTTTCATTGGTTTTTTTTTTTTTTCTGTTTTTTTTGGGGGGCCTTTCTTGTTCTTTTTTTTATTAATTTGTTTTGTTTTCTTTTCCCTCTTTTTCCATTTTTGTCTTTCTTCATTGCTCAGTTTCTTGTCTCTCTATATCTTCCTTCTCTTTCTGATCCCTGAATACCAGGCGTTGTATACCTCTGCGCCTTCTAGCCAGGCTGAACTGCAACACCGGAGAGCAACTTCCCCAGACTTCATAGCTGCATCGGTGGGATCCCTGGGAACTTTGCGGTTCTTTAACCTTTCTGATTTTTGTTTTTTCATTCTTTTCTTTTCTTCCTCTTCCCCTTTCTGTTTTTTCTCCATTTCATAGTCTCTCATCTCTCCATTCCAACAGAAAGCTCCCCTAGCATTCTTTTTTGTTTGTATGTTTCTGGCCCCTGTTCCTCCCTCCTCTCTCACATATCCATCTTAGCTCCACACATAACAATCTCCCCGCTGCATCCTGCCTACCTTCACTGTACGTTTAACATCACACCACCAAGCACCACAGGCATGGCCTACTGGAACCTGCCCTGCACTGATTACCAACTCGCTCTAGTGGCTGTAGTGCCACAAACAACCCATCCCAGTAACTCCTCTTCAGCTAGACCTGCCCTGCTGTACCATATCTGAGTGACTGACCATGCCAGTTGAAGAAGGAGGCAAAAAGTATTGAGCGCACAGATGAGCAAACAACAAAGAACACACAGTCCGCCTGCTCAGACATAGTCAAATATTTTTTTAAAAAAAGGGACGAAACAAACAAATCTACAATCAATAAACTAGAAAAATAACTACTGAATGCCCCAAAAACAGCAGACAATATCAAAACATTTACAAAAACCGGACAGGATGGTTCCAGCAGGCGTCCAAACTAAAACACCAGATGAATGTCCTGTGGAAGAAAATGCACTAGAACTACCTGCTAGGGAATGCAAATCTCTAATACTCAGTAATCTCCAAGAACTGTGGCAAAAAGCTGACAAACATGAGGAAAAAATAGACAAATTCATGGAAAATACAAACAAAAAATTGGAAGAATTCAGGAAGATGATGCAGGAACAAAATGCCAAAATAAATTCACAACTAGAAATTATACAAAGACAACAAT